TTTTTTACAAGACTGTGTGTTTTCTTGTGGTACATTGCAAATAGTCGAGACCTGTCATCCACAGGCTCCTTTCCAGTAGGTCTATAATAGGCCTTCGGTCCAAGACACTGCGTAAATAGTTCAAACAGTTCTTTTGCATGTTCCTTTCTTCGACAAAACACAATGACCTTTGTAGCATTCACATGCATTTCTTCTAATTCATCAATAATTGACCTAAAAGTATCATACAAGTTTTCGTGATCCACATCCTTTACAGAATATCGAATGTTGGGCTTATTTGGGTCACCAATAATCTCTACACAGTTCTTCATACACAAATCTTTAATAATGGTCTTTTGTGTTGCTTCAGTTGCTGTCGCTGTGAGTGCTATAACAGGAATATCTCTATGCACCAATGAACGAAGTTCTGATAATCTTCCATAGTCTCTTCTAAAAGCTTCTTCAGTGACACTGTCTTTTCCCCTAAAATTGGAAATTTTTACAGGTATTAGCTTTCATTTTTGCTTAAATCCCTCCGTTTAATTGTTTCATAATATATAGTAGAAGAAGCGCATATAGGAAAAACTACTTTATGCAGTACCTATATGATTTATTAATATAAATAAACTGATGAAAGCAGCAAGCGAGAGGGACAAACATGACGCTCTTCTGGTTCGGTTTTCATGTCATTACTTCACTTTAGTTACATGTAAATACACATATTACAATCAAATGTAACATAAAAACTTACCACTTCGCGATGCAATGGCTTTCATCGACAAACACGGCTTTTAAGTTGCTTTTCAACTGGCGAAATATGTGACGGTAACTGTTCAGAAGAGCTTCGGGACTCCCAAACACAATTCTGGCCTTGAAATTCAAAATATCTGTCAGTTGATCTTCCGAACAGTCGTCCCCAACATACGAGGCAGGAATTCCACGACTAACTAAGTTGTTCACTTGATCTTTCATCAGCGAGACCAAGGGAACGACCACGAGAACCATTGATTTCTTGTTTCCTAATAAATGCTCGAAAGCGTATGGTGCTAGCTCAAATGCAAGGCTTTTCCCAGCTCCTGTGGGCGCCGAAACGAAGACATCTCTGTTTGAAAGATATGCCTGAACAGTGTTCTGCTGATACTCTTTCAGTTCGGAGTAACCAACAGACGTCTTTGCTTTGTCAATCGCTTCGATAATGGAAGCCATATCAAAGTATTTTCTAATCGAGTGAAATTGTGGTGAAATCGACACCAACATCGACACCTTGATTGACATGTTTATTCACGCGGAATAGTCGAAACGGTAATTATAATAATTAATTCAGCGACCTGATTTTGGGTCGCCAAATATGGGGCGAAGCAAGTTTGACAAGTCGACTCTTCCGCGCGTTCCTTCCCTCGCTTTCGCGACCTCGCTACGCTCGGTCGCTCAAACTCGCGTGTCGGTTTAAAGAGTCGACTTGTAGCAAATCTAGATAAATGATGGTTACCATAGCAACCATAATTTTCAATATGATGATCTTGATCATATTTAGCATATTATTCATGATAAATGATGGTTACCATTGCAATCATAATTTTCATTATGATGATCTTGATCGTATTTAGCATATTATTCATAATAAATGATGGTTCCCATGGCAACTATTATCTTCATTTTGATGATCTTGATCATATTTAGCATATTATTCATGATATATGCTGGTTACCATGGCAACCATAATTTCCTTAATGATGATCTTGATCATATTTAGCATATTATTCATGATAAATGATGGTTGCCATGGGAACCATTATCATCTTTTTTATGATAATGATCAAAATTAACATAATATTCCTAATAAATTATAGTTGCAATTCCAACCATGATGATCATTATAATGATCTTGATCATATTTAGCATATTATTCATGATAAATGATGGTTACCATTGGCAAACATGGTTTTCATTATGATGATCTTGATCATATTTAGCATATTAATCATGATAAAGCATGGTTAAAATGGCAACCATAATTTTCATAATGATGATTTGGATCATATTTAGCATATTATTCATGATAAATGATGGTTACCATGGCAACCATAATTTTCATTATGATGATCTTGATCATATTCAGCATATTATTCATGATAAATTATGGTTGCCATGGCAACCATTATCATCATTTTGATGATACATACTAATCATAATAAATTATGGTTGCAATTTACACCATGATGATCTTTATGATGATCTTGATCATATTTGGCATATTATTCATGATAAATGATAGTTACCATGGCAACCATAATTTTCATTATGATGATCTTGATCATATTTAGCATATTATTCATGATAAATGATGGTTAATATGGCAACAATAATTTTAATTATGACGATCTTGATCATATTTAGCATATTATTCATGATAAATGATGGTTACAATGGCAACCATAATTTTCATTTATGATTTGGATCATATTTAGCATATTATTCATGATAAATGCTGGTTACCATGGCAACCATAATTTTCATTATGATGATCTTGATCATATTTAGCATATTATTCATGATAAATTATGCTTGCCATGACAACCATTATCATCATTTTGATGATAATGATCAAAATTAACATACTAATCATAATAAATTATGGTTTCAATTTCAACCATGATGATCTTTATCATGATCTTGATCTTATTTAGCATATTATTCATGATAAATTATGGTGGCCATGACAACCATTATCATCATTTTGATGATAATGATCAAAATTAACATACTAATCATAATAAATTATGGTTCCAATTTCAACCATGATGATCTTTATCATGATCTTGGTCATATTTAGCATATTATTCATGATAAATGATGGTTACCATGGAAACCATAGTTTTCATTATGATGATCTTGATCATATTAGCATATTATTCATGATAAATGATGGTTACCATGGCAACCCTAATTTTCATTATGATGATCTTGATCATATTTAGCATCTTGATCATGACAAATTATAGTTACCATGGCAACCATAATTTTCATTATGATGATCTTGAACATATTTAGCATCTTATTCATGACAAATGATGGTTACCATGGCAACCATAATTTTCATTATGATGATCTTGATCATATTTAGCATTATTCAAGATAAATGATGGTTACCATGGCAACCATAATTTTCATTTGATGATCTTCATCATATTTAGCATACTCATGGAATTAAATCGGCAAATTTAGTTAACAGCTAGGGAGCGAAAATAATGTAGAACGAAATATTATTAACTAAATATGCATAAGTCGAAAGGAAAAACCCGAAGAAATGGTGGTCTGAAATTAAACGTATCTCAAACCTTGTAACCAAACGGAAACTGATAAGTTTAGCCAATGTTGAAACGTTTTCCAACCTTACACCAAGAGATCAAACAAATGAAATGAATAAAACATTTTTCGACTAGAATGTTCGACTAAATGATAGTTACCATGGCAACCATTATTTTCTTTATGATGATCTTGATCATAATTAAAATATTATTCATGATAATTGCTGGTTACCATTACAACCATAATTTTCATTATGATGATCTTGATCATATTTAGCATATTATTCATGATAAATGATGGTTACCATGGCAACCATAATTTTCGTTATGATGATCTTGATCATATTTAGCATATTATTCATGATAAATTATAGTTACCATGGCAACCATAATTTTCATTATGATGATCTTGATCATATTTATCATATTATTCATGATAAATGATGGTTGCCATGGCAACCATTATCATCATTTTGATGATAATGATCAAAATTAACGTAATAATCATCATAAATTATGGTTGCAGTTTCAACCATGATGATCATTATGATGATCTTGATCATATATAGCATATTATTCATGATAAATGATGGTTACCATGGCAACCATAATTTTCATTATGATTATCTTGATCATGTTTAGCATATTAATCATAATAAATTATAGTTACCATGGCAACCATGATTTTCATTATGATGATCTTGATCATATTTAGCATATTATTCATGATAAATGATGGTTACCATCCTAACCATAATTTTCATTATGATGATCTTGATCATATTTAGCATATTATTCATGATAAATGATGGTTACCATGGCAACCATAATTTTCTATTGATGATCTTCATCATATTTAGCATACTGATGGAATTAAATCGGCAAATTTAGTTAACAGCTAGGGAGCGAAAATAATGTAGAACGAAATATTATCAACTAAATATGCATAAGTTGAAAGGAAAAAACCCGAAGAAATGGTCGTCTGAAATTAAACGTATCTCAAACCTTGTAACCAAACGGAAACTGATAAGTTTAGCCAATGTTGAAACGTTTTCCAACCTTACACCAAGAGATCAAACAAATGAAATGAATAAAACATTTTTCGACTAGAATGTTCGACTAAATGATAGTTACCATGGCAACCATTATTTTCTTTATGATGATCTTGATCATAATTAGCATATTATTCATGATAATTGCTGGTTACCATTGCAACCATAATTTTCATTATGATGATCTTGATCATATTTAGCATATTATTCATGATAAATTATGGTTGCCATGGTAACCATTATCATCATTTTGATGATAATGATCAAAATTAACCTACTAATCTTAATAAATTATGGTTCCATTTTCAATCATGATGATCTTTATCATGATTTTGATCATATTTAGCATATTATTCATGATAAATGATGGTTACCATGGCAACCATAATTTTCATTATGATGATCTTGATCATATTTAGCATATTATTTATGATAAATGATGGTTACCATGGCAACCATAATTTTCATTATGATGTTCTTGATCATATTTAGCATATTATTCACGATAAATGATGGTTACCATGGTAACAATAATTTTGATTATGACGATCTTGATCATATTTAGCATATTTTTCAGGATAAATGATGGTTACCATGGCAACCATAATTTTCATTATAATGATCTTGATCATATTTAGCATATTATTCATGATAAACGATGGTTGCCATGGCAACCATTATCATCATTTCGATGATAATGATCAAAATTAACATAATAGTCCTAATAAATTATGGTTTCAATTTCAACTATGATGATCATTATGATGATCTTGATCATATTTAGCATATTATTCATGATAAATGATGGTTACCATGGCAACCATAATTTTCGTTATGATGATCTTGATCATATTTAGCATATTATTCATGATAAATTATAGTTACCATGGCAACCATAATTTTTATTATGATGATCTTGATCATATTCAGCATATTATTCATGATAAATGATGGTTGCCATGGCAACCATTATCATCATTTTGATGATAATGATCAAAATTAACGTAATAATTATCATAAATTATGGTTGCAGTTTCAACCATGATGATCATTATGATGATCTTGATCATATATAGCATATTATTCATGATAAATGATGGTTACCATGGCAACCATAATTTTCATTATGATTATCTTGATCATATTTAGCATATTGATCATGATAAATTATAGTTACCATGGCAACCATGATTTTCATTATGATGATCTTGATCATATTTAGCATATTATTCGTGATAAATGATGGTTACCATCCTAACTATAATTTTCATTATGATGATCTTGATCATATTTAGCATATTATTCATGATAAATGATGGTTACCATGGCAACCATAATTTTCATTTGATGATCTTCATCATATTTAGCATACTCATGAAATTAAATCGGCAAATTTAGTTAACAGCTAGGGAGCGAAAATAATGTAGAACGAAATATTATCAACTAAATATGCATAAGTTGAAAGGAAAATACCCGAAGAAATGGTGGTCTGAAATTAAACGTATCTCAAACCTTGTAACCAAACGGAAACTGATAAGTTTAGCCAATGTTGAAACGTTTTCCAACCTTACACCAAGAGATCAAACAAATGAAATGAATAAAACATTTTTCGACTAGAATGTCCGTTACCAAAATTTCCGTTACCAAAATTTCCGTTCGAAGAAATGGCAACCTTTCTAAACATATCAAAGGCTATTCAGTAAGGACTATTCATATATCCCAGAGTTAGAATTACCATATAGCGTCATCAATTGGATATCAGAGACCTTTCGATCCAATTGTATTCAACGGAAAAGAGTTAGAAGTTGTTAATAAAATCAAACTCTTGGGTCTTACCATTAATAATTCTTTAACATGGAAACCTCACATAGACGAAGTCGTCAAAAAGGTTAATAAAAGACCCTATTTACTTGTG